TGAATGTACAAATGCGCTTTACACAATTGATGTATGTATGGATTGAGATAAGAGTTGTATGAGCCCCTAATAAAACGATTAAAAAAAAAAAGATTTACTTGGAGAGAAAGAACGAACGAACGGGGTGGGTGAGGGTGGGGGAGAGAGAGAGAAAACTATTACTGGTAGTGTCGTGGTTACGATTTGGGCTGTCATCCTCATGGTTGGCAGTTCAAAACCACCAGCAGCTTCTCAGCAGAAAGACTGGGCTTTCTTCTCCCCCCCACCCCCCTTTTTCTGTCACTCTACTCATTTGAATCTTGTGGCCTTTCTATTTCCATAAACAGTTACATTCTTGGACAACCACAGTGGGTTGATATGAGTCGGCAGTGAGTTTGGTTTGAGGTTAATAACTTCAGCAAAGAATGGAAACGATCATGTTTTTCCAGTGCATTCTGCATTCAGATGTTCATGAGTTCAAAATGGTACCTCTGGAGTCCTGGTGGTGTTGTGGGTTAAGTATTGAGCTATTAATTGCAAGGTTGGCAGTTCAAACCTGGAGAAAAATGTCTGCTCCTAAAGATTCGCAGTCTCAGAAACCCCATGTTATGGATCAGAATCAACTTGATGGCATTGTGTTATCTGTGTTAAACTGAGTAATCCCTGTGTTAGATCAGAAATGTTATGCGCCATTAATTCATGTTGTTAGGTACCATGCACTTGGTTCTAACTCATAGTGTACAAGAGAACAGACCCTGGCCCCTCCTGTGTCATTCTCACAACCGCTCTCATTGAGGGCATCCCTCCTTTTCCTGACGTTTTCCTGATGTCCTTCTTGCATTGTGTCCTGATGGCACATCCTAAGTGTTACCACCCTCTTTTCTAAGAATCATAATTTATGGCTCTACTTCTTCCAACATAGATTTGTTTGTTCTTCCGGCAGTCCATGCATGGTACACTCAATAATTCAAATGCGTGAATTCTTCCATATTCATTGTCCAGCTTTTTCCCTGTGTATGTGAACATGATTGAACACATAGCATACGCTTGTGGGTCAAGTGTACCTCGGAGTCATTACTAGCGACACCTAAGAAAAAGAATTTATTAACCTCCAATATTAAGTTATGCATAAGATGTTCAAAAGTTCAAAAGAAAGGCAGACTGCCACATGCAGCGCCTCATTTGGATGTGTCTGGAGTCTTGGAAGCTTGACTACCCTAAGTTCTCCTACAAATGGACCTTGAGACTTGTTTGGAGGTTCCAGCAGGGGAGCACAGCTACTCGTATACCCTTGACCGAAGGACGGTCTTCCTTCTATCGGGGAAGGTCGTCCTCTTCAACCGAGCGCGCAGCTTCGGGAGGGACGCACATGGAGCGGTGAGGGAGGAAGGGGACACCCGCCTAGCCAGCCAGATCAGCCGAATCAACCCTGGCGATCAATGGGGTGACAGATGTCGCAGCCAGATCGCCCTCACATCCGAAATTACTAGGGCTAACGCTTGCTATATAAGTACAAAGATCAATGTCACTTTATACATAGGATGAGTGGTTTTCAAGATCTAACAAAACAGCCTTAAAAAGCCCTAAAGTCCAAGCACAAACAGAACTAACGAGCTGATTTCATTGACAAAACGATTAACGTTGAAGTTGAAGTTGTTTTATTTGGGGGCTGCTTTACAGTATCCAGAATGCCTTGCAGACGGGGTGGAGCATGCTAAACATTGCCGTCTCTATTGGTGAGATTTCCGGGAGCCTCGCCCACCTCGGGTGCTTCTCCCCGCCCTCTGGGCGCTCTTAGCTGCAGGCTGCTCGCTCTGCGTCCTGTGTGACCCTGGGCTGTTCGTAGCGGACTTTCAGGACGGTCTGTCTCCATTCTGCTTCCCAGGCCTGCTTTCTCCTGTCCTGCTTCTTCCTCCCTCTGCACGGTCTGCTCCGGTCCTCTCACTTCCCTGACCTCCCCTGCCCAACCCCATCCTTCCGTCCTTCTCTCGCTCCTTCCTTGCTGTTGAGCCTAGCCCCCATTACCCCGGGGTGCTGGGCTCTCGGCTGGGGCTGGAGTCCTTGGCTCAGGGTGCCCCGATCTTGCCGGGCCGGGCCTGGCGGCGGTCCCGATTCTGCAGGGGCCGAGCTGGGGTGCCGAGGTAGCCTCGGAGTTGAGTCTGCGCTCCCAGGACGTGGCCCGAACGCACGGTCCAGCCCAGAGCCCGGGAGAACCGTCAAGTGGAATGCACGTTTCCCAGCGACCTCGTTGAACCTGTCCCCTCTCAGTCGCTGGGCTAATTAAATAAGATGTTGCTTGTGAAACCGTGACTGCTTGCCTCCTCGGGCATCGTTTTGAAAATCTAGGAGCGTTTTTAGAGCGGAAGTATGAAAAGGTTGGAAGCTGAGAAACACTGCGCTTGTTAATAGCACAGACGTTATTGCAACGCGTGGCCCCAGCTTCCTAAAATCCAGAATCAGAAGTCACAAATGGAAAGGCTGTGACGCCACAATGGCTTTTCTTTAAAAAAAATTTTTTAAATAAATGATGCCATGTGTTTTCACTAAGCGAGGGGGAAGCGCAACAACAAAAACCAATTTCCTCAGCCCAACCCGTGAACAGTCATTGAGTCCTGAGCGCAGGGTTCAGAGTGAGAAATCGTGGATGTTGGTGTCCGCAGGAGTTGATACATTTGTTTTTCAAAAAGCCTGCAAGACCGTCATGGGATCGAGGCCCAAGCTCCACTATCTCAATGGAAGGGGCCGCATGGAATCCATAAGGTGGCTTTTGGCTGCTGCTGGAGTCGAGGTACCTTATATGTTCTTTCTTTTCTTTTCTTTTCTTTTCTTTTAAACCCTTTACTGTGATTGGGGTGAAGGATTACAGAGCAGCTGATCAAGTTTACATTCAACAACACATACCTTTGTTTCAGCTCAGATTGTAGCTCCCTCGATGTAACTTGAAATCCCAACTCGCCCTGTTTTCTGTTTTCTGTTTCCATGCCTTTCTTTCCTAAAGGTTGTGCTTGGGTAAATACTTTCCTTTGGATGGCCCGCGGTTGCGTGTTGCTATGGTGTGTGTACCTCACTCGTGTGCCTCACGAATTCCCGTCTGGGCAGAACTATTGAGTTCATTTCCCGACCTGAAGGGTGAGGAAGAGCCACCGTTTCATGAGTTCCACCAGGCTTTTTCTGCCAGGAAGCCTGTTCTTTCTTTATTATGCGTTTCGTTCCGCATTTTTCTCCCACTCTATCCAAGACCTTCTCATGTGTTCTCTTTCAGAGCAGTTTGTCGTGGCAGCTGGGTACCCTCTAGTTTTTCTGGTCTCCGTCAGGGAGGTGGAGACGGTCCATTACTCCACTGGACTAATTGTTTCCATGTCTTCATCAGAGATCTTTGACGGGAAATAAGTTTCAGAGCTCAGTTCGCTTAGTCCCCTTCCACCATATTGCAGACAAATATCATTGACTCTGAAGATGCCTTCCTTTCAAATGGTGTCGTGTTTGTGTTTTCCTTACAAATTGAGGTAGATAGTTGGTAGAATTCTCTGTTACTTTTGACTTATGCTTGACCCTGGACTTCTGATCCACCATGAACATATTAATGGATACAGAGAACATGAATACACTTTTTAGTTCCCCTCAAAATATGTTGACTGGCCAGTCTCTTGTGAATTTCCTAGCAATGGTTTCACATTGATAACTCTCATGACTGCAGGTGAGTGTGCTTTGGCATACACAATGCTTTTATTTTTGTTCTGATCTTTTCATTAATCTCATGGAAACTAAAAGATACATAAAAATGGAGAGATTATTATCATGAATTGCATACAACCAACACACAACTCAGCAATGGTCAATTTTATGCTAATTTTGTTTTGTCTTTGCCCCTCCCTCCAATTTGTGTGTGTGATTATTTTAAAGCCAAATCCAAGCACGTCTTTTCATTTGTGAACACTTCAGTATTTGTCACTATCAGATTAGGATTATTAAACCTGGTCATAATGCCATATCACCTCCAATGATATCAACAGTTCCTCATTGTCATCGAACCCCCAGTCTCCTGTCAGAAGCAGGGCTTTTTACAGTTACTGTAAAAAGTAGTCTGGATCTAAACAAGGTCCAAACATGACATTTGATAGGTGATTTTTCCTTTAAAATATCTGAAACAGCTCCCTATGCATTTTAAAAATACACTTTGTAAATTATCCAGGGTTCATGAGGGAGGGGGGAGCCAGGAGGAAGGGGGAAAATGAGGAGCTGATGCCAGGGGCTTAAGTGGAGAGCAAATGTTTTGAGAAGGATGAGGGCAATGAATGTACAAATATGCTTTATACAATTGATGTGTGGATGGATTGTGATAAGAGTTGTATGAGCCCCTAATAAAATGATTTAAAAAAGAAAGAAAAAAAATACGCTTTGTTCTTAGCAATACTTTTTGCCGGACTCAAAAGTTGCCAAATAATAAGTACAAAGTTCCCATTCCTTATATAACCTTGGCACTTTGTCAGAACAAAGACATTAACATTGGGGCAGGACTATTGGCTAACTTTATTCAGATTGCCCTAATTTCTCTGCCAGTGGACTCAGACTGTCATAGAATCCTATTCAGGAAATGACACTGCACTTGGTCACAATGTTTCTTGTTTCTCCTTTGCACTGTGGCACGTTCTTGGTTTTTCCTTTTTTCTGCCTCATCTTTGGCAGTTTTGAAAAGGATGGGTCAGGGATTTCATTAGGACCCTCCACGCTTTGGGCTAGTCTGATGTTTTTCTCATGACACCAGGCTGGAGGTTGTAGATTTAAGAAGAAGAAGAGCCCAGAGGTAAAGTGTCCTTTTCACTGCATCCTATCAAGGATACATGATAGTGACATAATTTATCACGGTCAGGTTGACTTTGATCACTTGGCTAAGGGACTGTCTGCCAAGTTTCTCCAGTGTGAAATACTGGCTCCCACCTTCTATCCCCTCCCCGCCCCAACACACACTTTTCTTAAGAGGTGAATGATTAAATCTAGCCCACAGCCAAAGGGTTTAAGTTCTAATCTTGGATGGGGGAGTATGTATATATTATATGGAATTCTTTTGTCATAAGAGACCATAAACGGTCTCATTTCTTCCATTTATATAACTATTTGCTTATACCTGTTATTTATTTCAGATAGTTCATTTTGTTGCTATTGTTCCAGATTTGCCATTGGGACCACGTTCAGGCTAGCTCTTGTGCTTCTTTGACTTTTTGCTACCCTCCCTCCCCTCCGTCTGTCTGCCTGCCTGCGTGTGTCTCAGCACTTCTCTACTTTCTGGCACTTCAAGGTGACCCAGGCTCATCAATAGTTCTCCTGCCCCAGCTCTCACGAATCAGAGCCTTTATCAAGAGATCCTGATCTCTTTTATTAGAAGACAGGATTGCCAACTAAGCTCTGAGTGGTGGGAGTCCGCGTTTGTTTCTGATGTTGTTGTGTGCCCGCAAGTCGATTGCAACTCATCCTGACACTGCAGGGCAGAGCAGAACTGTCCGCGGCCTCCCAGCTGTGATCTTTACAGCATTAGAGTGCCACGTCCTTTCCCAAAGCTGCTGGTGGGCTAGAACTGCCAGCCTTCCAGTGAGCAGCCAAATGCTTAACCATGGTGCTACCAGGGGTCCTTCATATTGTTTCTTGGGTCATTTGTTGACTTACTAAGACTCTAGGTGTCATATTAACATGCCTTCTATTTTCTACGTCCTGTAAATGACTGGTTGGACACTGGTTCGACTTACAGGACAGGGGAGGGAGGGTAGGACTGCCCCTGTTGGTTTCCAAGGCTGAGACTCTTTACCAGAGATAGAAAGCCCTGTCTCTCTCCCACGGAGTGGCAGGAGGTTTCGAATTGCAGACCTTATGGTTATCATCCCAATGTGTGACTACTAACTACACCAATAGGTATCCTTGCACCATGCCAGGGGCCACATAATAGCTGGTTGTCTTTTTCTCAGCGTTTCCGTCTGTTGTCAGTCTGATCTGTGCATTTTAAAAGTTTCCCTCATTGCCTTTCTAGCTGTTGGCTTTAGTAGCTGTTAATGTTCACTACCACTGTTCCCAAAACACCAAACTCACACCATCGAGTTAATTCCGACTCCTAGCAATGCTACTGGAGAGGGTAGAGTGCCCCTGTGGGTTTCTGAGGCTGACTTCATGGGAATAGAAGGCTTCATCTTTCTTCTGAGGGGCAGCTGGTGGTTTTTAGGTTTTTTGTTTTTAATCATTTTATTGGGGGCTCGTGCAACTCTTATTACAATCCATCCATCCATCCATCCATCCATCCATCCATCCATCCTTCCATGTGTCAAGCACTTTTGTACATTTGTTGTCATCAGTTCCAAAACATTTTCTTTCTCCTTGAGCCCTTGGTATCAGCTCTTCTTTTTCCCCCCTCCCTCCCTCCCCCATTATTTGTCATTTCTCAATCACCCAGATGTAACTCTCCTCCCGCATCCAGGGTATAATTAACATTCACCCATTTGGTTGCGGTGTTTTGTTAGCCTCTTTGAATCTAGAACAACAACATCATCCACAAGAAACCGCACTCACAGCCTTTGAGTCAGTTCTGACTCATAGCAACCCTCCCGCACAGGACAGAACTGCCCCTGTGAGCTCCTGAGACGGGGACTCTCTATGGGAGTGCAATGCCTCCTCTTTCTCCCTGGGAAGTGGTGGGTGGTTTTGAATGGCTGAGTTTGTGATTGGCAGCCCAACAATAACCACTATGCCACCAGGGCACCTTTAATCTAAAACAGTACCTGCCCCCGCTCCCTTTCCTGTCCTTGACTCCCCTCAAGAGTCCAGGCTATTATATTGAGATTGCCCCACATTTTGGATATACCTGTTTGTTACCTGGTGATTAGATGAAGCTGCTCATCAAGAGTTCTTTACAGGTGCCCTCCCCCCCACTGATGAGGCTGAATTTGGTCATTGATGATGAGGTTGGTGGAGAAATGATCAGCTCTCTGCATTGTCACTTTGCTTTTGTCATAATTCCGACCTTGGTGGGGTGCTGCTTTCAGGCTGTGTGATTTGACTGCACCACCAAAGCCCAATGATTTTCGCATCCATTGAGGATTTTTGTAGAATCAGTTAATGTAGGGCTAGCCAGCCCCTCACAACTAATCACGGGTTCAGTAGGTGCAATCATACAGTTAAAATATAAAGATTATAGTAAAGTCATAGAGAGATAGGAGAGAGAGTAACATAAAGAAGTCAGACACATTGCATAGTAGCATCCTCACCTCCTGGACAGCCATGATCTCAACGTGCCAGTTGAGGGCAGGAGATAGAGCAATTTATTACAAACCAAGGTTTCTATATCTTTTGGGGTCCTGCAAGTCCCCTGATTACAGGTAAAGACCTATGTCACAGAAAGGGGTTGTACTATAGGTAATACAGTAATGAGAGGGGGAAGATCTAGGGGTATACATGCAATAGAAAGGGGAGGGATTGGGGATACACATGTGACAAGATGGGCCAATCCTAGATTCAGGATGGCAGCCTAACTTTGTATGTCATTGAGCAGGTTTGACCTGTTCTCTGGCTCTCCCAAACAATTACTATCCTTATCAGTAGGGTGTGAGCCCCATCTACAGAGAACCAGATCATAGTATGATGGCTGAATGCCTTCAGGGAGAATATCTCTGAGCATCTGACATCCCACCCTGTGCTGGCAAACAGCCTCTACTGTTTGGCATATCTTTGGGGGAGACAAAGCTGGGGAAAGGTCTTTTTATGTCCCACAAGCTAATGCATTGGGGGTTGCCAACTGGTTAGCAATAACCCTACACAAGTTAGATTCTGTAGAGAAGAGCTTCCCCCCCCTTCTTCCTTTTTTCTTTGTCATCGTGATCTGTAACTTACACTTTTGTGGTGATTGTGTATTATACAACAGACATTGTATTTTGTTTTGTTTGCATCTTTAACATTTTTATTGGCATGTAATTCAATAGTTTAGTCATATGAAAAAGAATTGTACAATCATCACCACAATCAATTTTAGAGCATTTTCCTCTTTCTTGTATTCATTGTTATCAACTCCCCATTTCCTCCCAACCTCCCCTGTGATACCTCATATGAAGCCATCAATGCAGCCACGGTCTCTCTAGGTTTATCCGCCTGTATTTCATATACAGAAAAATAATCGTGCATTGTTCTTTCTCTTCTTCTTCTTTTTAAATCATTTTCTTGGGAGCTTCTACAGATATTATAACAATACATAATTCAGTTAGATCAGGCATAATTGTACAATTGCCGCCACCATCCTTTTCAAAACAGTTTCTTTCTTCTTGAACTCTTTGATATCAGTTCCCCTTTATCCCCGCCCCCCTGAACCCTTATTATTATTATCGCCATTTCGTATACCATCCAATGTATTCATTCACCTACAATTCTGTTATTCATTCCCCTGGAGTGGGGTTATACAGTCATCATTGCTATCAATTCCCCTTTTCCCCCTTCCTGTACCCTCAGGGAATCATTACTGCCATTACTCTTTCTGAGCATTGTTCTTTTTGAGGCTCAAATTGCCCCAGATTTTTTTTAAACAAAGACCCTTTATCCAAACACTGCCATTGAGTCAATTCTGACTAATGGCATCCCCTGTGTGACAGGGTAGAACTGCCCCTGTGGGCTTCTAGCCTGTACTCTTGACTGGAGCTCAAAGCCTCATCTTTCTCCTGCAGAGGGGCTGGTGGTCTCAAACTGCCGACTTTGCAATTAGCAGCCCAATGTGCAACCATTATGTCACCAGGCCTACTGAGACCCTCTATAGAACACTATAAACCAAAAAAGCATTCCTGTTAAGTCGATTGCAACTCATTATGACCCTATAGAATAGAGTTGAACCACTCCATAAGGCTCCCAAGGCTGGAGGTCATCTTCTTAGAAGCAGACTGCCACGTCTTCTCTTGAAGAGCAGCTGCCGGTTTGAAATGCTGATTTTCCCCTTACCAGTAGAGCACTTGCTCACTGTGCCACCAGGGCTCCTTAGGACTCTGTAGCCATTGACATAGTCAAAGCTTGAGTACCTCCTTGTGTAAGAACTTTGCTGCCCTAGAACCAGTCTTAGATTCAAATCAGTATCTTCTCTTAGAAGCCCAGATTCCCATTAGTGGGCAGTGATATTCAGAACCCAAGATACAGGTACAACCAAGCCCAAACCAAACCCATCAAGTCTGTCCTGACTCACGGTGACCCCAAAGGACAGAATAAAAAAACGCCATTGGCTTCCTAAGACTAGCACCCTGATGGGAGCAGACAATCTCAGCTTTCTCTTGGTGAGTTTGGATCACTGATCTCGTGGTTATAGCCCAAGGTGCTAATTTTCTGTGTATTTCTAGAGACAATTTAACTGTTTTGAACCTATAATGATCATCTTTTTTGGGGGGTGGGCTATCTTGATTTTTGTTCTTCTTTAGTTCGATGAAGAATTTCTAGAAACAAGAGAACAGTTCCAGAAGTTGAAGAATGGTGAGTTTGAAACAGAAACTACTGTTCTGAATAATGGTTGAAGCCCAAACACAGCAGACTGAAATGTATGTGGGAGGGCAAAGGCGCTGGGGACCCTGCATGTACAGAGAGTTGTGAAGACAGCGTTTCCCGTTCCATCCAGAACCTGCCTGTGGTGCTTCCGTGGTTGACTTCCACATGGAGACAAGCAGGCTGGATTGCTGGCCAGTGTACCTTGCCAGCCGCCACCACACAGCAGCCACAGAACCCCCTGTGAACCGAGTGGTCTGATCCCTAGGTGGTCGTGGGGATGATGCCGCTTCAGGCAGCATTTTGTTCTCTCGGGCATGAGGTCACTATGATTGGGGCCCAGCCCCACAGCTAACCACGGCAGCAGTAGCAGTCCTATTGGCAGCCTGCTCTCACCAGCCATCCAGAGGGCTCCCTGGCTCAGCTCAGCTTGAGAGGAAGGCAAGCCAGTCTGTGCAGACTCTGGCTGCAGCCGCCGGCCATGTGCCAAGTACTCAGGTCCCTACCCTCTATCCCCCCAGCCCCCAGCCCGTGAGCTGCTGGAGCTGGCTGCGTCTCTCTACCCACCTGGAAGCGTACAAAGCAGATTTGCGGAAGAAATTAATGGGGCTTTTTTTTTTTTGACAGCAAAGCAGTGAGTGTACCCGAGTATCAGCTGGTGGTGTAGGTTATGTTATCAGATGCTCTGAAGTACACGTTGGGCTATGATCTGCCTGGTTGGCAGTTTGAAACCACCAGCTGCTCCTTGGGAGAAAGACAGGGCTTTCTACTCCCTGTACAGTTGCAGTCTGGGAAACTCACAGGGGCAGTTCTACCCTGTCGGGTCCCTAGGAGTCAGCCTCGCCTCGATGGCGGTGAGTAAAGGAGCTCTATTCAAGAGGACATCTGATGGAGATGGGGACACGCTACATGGGTAGCGGTCGTGCCTACTGAGTCCCCGAGAGCTGTCTAGTCTGAGTGAGCAATGGTTTTAAAATTGAATTGAATTTTAATTAGTTAAAATCTGGAATAGAATAGCTACACCTAGCTAGTGACGATCCTATTGTCCAGTGCTGTGTGAAAGAAACACCCCACCTGGGGTTCTTCCCCTTCCCCTACCCCGTCACGGTGGGCAGTTCCTCCTTGCTGAGGGCAAAATCGAAAGGGAGAGTTGAGAACAGTGCTGACCTCAAGGCTTATTGTACAGCCAAATCTGCTTTTGCTTCCCCTGAATGAAGCTGAGGTTATGGGCCACCAGGATTCTGTACCATTGAAAAACAAACAACAACAAAAAAAACCCCAAACCGACAGCCATGAAATTGATGTTGACTCCTAAAGACCTTGTAGGACAGGCTAGGACTGCCCCTGTTTCTGAGACTGTAACTGTGCGTGGGACTAGAAAGCCAGATCTCTGGTGGATTCAAACTGCTGACCTTGTGGTTAGCAGCCTAGTGTGGAACCCAATATGCCACTAGCGCTCCTTTATGTCAGTAAGATAAGTAAAAAAGTTTGCTTAGAAAAATTACAGAAACTATGCCAAAATTTGAAGCTGATGATTCTCAACAGCTCTTTCATCTATGTGTACACGTCTGAGGATGGGGTTCCCATCTCTCGACCCGTCTCCCAAACAATTCTGTCTACTCTCATTGACACCATGTCAAAATGGCAGTTTGGGCATCCTCTGGGGACTGACATGTGTTCCCTTTAAATGTTCCTTGAGTTCGGGGAACAAACAGAATTCTGAAGAGGGAGGTAGGGTGGAGTGGGTACGATGCCCATGAGCTTCCTGTTGGACGGCCTTCGCTACCTTGGAGGTAGAAGAAGGTGCCTGGGCACGATGGGCAACCATTCCTCTGCTCAATCTTCCTGGCCTTTCCCCACCAATGCAGTTTTCGGTTTTCTTAAAACTTCTTCACCATAAGCCCTTTGACCATCCTGTGCCCTGTGAGAAAAATCTATCAAGACTACCCACTGGAATCCCCACAATAAACCTGTATCACCTTCTGAACTGACTTCTCAGCCTTGAACAGGATGGGCCCAGCAGATCCCCTCGGAAGCCACTGTTTGGATGCCTGTTTTGGAAGGCGTCCTAACGAGACGAGGGCAGACCAGCGGAGCCCCATTCAAACACATTTCGTGTGGAATAGGCCCATGCATGTATACACTGGTTTCTCGTCACAGTGCTTGAGGTTTATCCTAGTAGTTCCGAAGGGTTTTTGTGGGGGTACAGGGGGAGGTGTGGGGAGGCAGGGTTGAGATCACCCCAAGACTGTGCTTCTATTCCCAGGTAACCACCTGCTGTTCCAACAAGTGCCCATGGTCGAAATGGACGGGATGAAGTTGGTGCAGACCCGAAGCATTCTCCACTACATAGCGGAAAAGCACCGCCTCTTTGGCAACAACCTCAAGGAGAAAACCTTGTACGGCGGCCAGTCTCTAGCGTTCTCCTTCGTCGGCTTACAGAAAGGCCTTGATTAGCCGTCCTCTGCAGCCCACCTCCTCCTGCAGTGCCTCGTGTCACTAGCCGGCGCAGGGAATGGCAGCGCGGCCAGTTGAGATTCAGTACAGAGTCTAAGTGAAGCTTGGGGAGAAAAGTTGAACTTGGGTGTTTGTTCCTGTACTTAGAGCGTGATTGTTTCAGGTTGTAACATCTTAGAGTATTCTGCTTTCCAAACATTGCCTTTACCATCCTGGAGAATTGGTCGTCGAGTCCAGAGAAGCCAATATGGCTTTTCCAGTCTGTGACATTGCACGTGGGCTTGTTGTTTGAATGCCAAAGCCCATCCTTCCACTTCCCAGATGCCTGATTCTGGGCCGCGCGTTAAAGTTAGGTTGCCTGTACGAAGAAGACAGAAACCGTATATGCCACGAGATGACAGGCAGGACATGTTTGGCCCTGTGTCCTGTGCACACCAAGCTTTCAGTAGATGGTTTTCACGCCACTTTTATAAATGGGAAGCTGAACCTGTACAGTGTGTGGGCACCAGAGTGAGGGTGGTGATGCAGGAGCTGCGGCGAGGGACAGTCATGATACCCATGATGCGATTTGATTGGTGACAGATTTTTCTGAAGGATGTCACCAGATTCCGGGCAGAACTGACAGAGCATATTTACTATTATCACCGTAACAACAACCATAGCAAAGCCCACCGCCACAGAGCCCATTCCAACTCTGAGGACTGAGTAGAATTACTACCTGGGGTTTCTGAGGCTCTCAGTGTCTATGGGAACAGTCAACCTTTTTCTTATCCATAGTGCGGCTAGAGGGTTTGAACCCGGGACCATGGTGGGTTTGAATGAATCACCTACACAGCCCAGGGTAATGCCTAAGATGCTAGAGCCTTAAGGAAAACAGAAATTTGAATACTTAGCTGTGGAAACCAATGGGGTCACTGGCATGGGAAACTGAGACAAGGGCTTTTGGGGTTTGTTTTAAGGATTGACATGTATGTGGAGGGCATGCTGGATCTTCTGGAAATGATTGTCATGCATCCTTTCTCGAAACCAGAAGATCAACCAAAGGAAGTGGTTAGCATGACCGAGAAGGCTGTGAGCAGATACTTTCCGGTGTTTGAAAAGGTACATAGCAAAGAACCTTTGAATGAGGCATCACCCAGCCACAAGGGCCCTGCCACAGACACCCTCTCCTGCTCAGAGGTCTGACTGACCTGCCTGGTCTGTAAGAGCTGACGGTTGCCCTCAGCACACAGCCAGATGTCCTGGTGCCTCTTAGGCATCACCAGGACCACACAACTCAGAAGCCTGGAAGGAATGTGGGCTCGCCACGTGTGTGCACCCTCATTCTCTGCGGTCACAGAGAAGCCCGGCCCAAACTGAGTCAGCAAGTGTTTGCCAAAGCGCTCTCGTGTGCCAGATATCCCAAGTGATGGATGGATAGGAAGTGACATTTCAGTGTGGTTTCTCTTCTCTTCCCTTTGCACTGTTGGTTTCTGTTTTCTTTTCCTCTTCTGATAGTAATAGTCACTTTCTCTGGGCTAAGATGCCTCTCTTCTCACACTGGAAGGGTTTAAAAAAACATTTTAATTCAAAAAGGGAAGAAGGAGATGTGAAAATATGGAAAGGCCTATTTGGTAGACTTCCTGACAGTCTTTGTAGAATTGGGTTTAAAAGGAGGGGCAGGAGGCACTTACACTCTCTCACAATGGGACGGCCTACGTTCATGTTGGAGGACCCCACGTGGCCGAGTGGGTACTCATTGGGCTGCGATCTGGAAGATCAGCAGTTTGAAGCCACCAGGGTTTCCTGGGGAGAGAGACAGGGCTTTCTACTTCCATAAAGAGTTACAGTCTCGGTAACCCACGAGGGCAATTCTACCCTGTCCTATGGGGTCATCGACTGGATGGCCATGAGTTTGGTTTGATTTTAGACGTTCTCGATGCAAAAACACTGCGTGTCCACTGTCCATGGAAAACCAATTTTCTGAGTCCACTGTCATCCAAATCACAATAAGATAGGCAAAAACAACATCAGCAACGTCCCAGCCCACCCCCACCCCCACCCTGTGCCCTCACCTTCTCAGACACTGCACCAATTGAGTAACTTCATCTGTTTCCCTGTGTAGTGTGTCCCATTGACGCAAAGCGCTTCTATCCTGCAGATTCTAAAGGATCATGGACAAACCTTTCTCGTTGGGAACCAGCTGAGCCTTGCGGATGTCGTTCTACTGCAAACTATTTCAGCTCTAGAAGAGAAAACAACTAGTATCCTCTCCGCGTTTCCTCACCTGCAGGTGACTAAAGACCCCGGTTAGGCCCTGGGTGGATTGGTGGCTGGCTGTGCTAGTTAACACAATGAAAGGAAAGTACAGACCCCAAACGGTTTGCTTTGTTAGTCCCAGTTTCGTCTTGGGTTGGCGCCATAGAACATCCCATAGGTACATTCTTGTAAAAAAACGCCATGGACAGAGCCCAGGACTTTGCACAGAAACAGTGTTAGAGATGAGAGAGTCCTGACCTCTGTAGACTATGCATTGGGCTGCTCACTGCAAGGTCAGCGGTTCAAAACCACTAGCCTCTCCAAGGGAGAAAGATGAGGCTTTCTGCTCCCGTAAAGGTTCACAGTCTCGGAAACCCACAGAAGCAGGTCTACTCCTATAGGGTCTATGTGAGTGAGAATCGACTTGCTACTAGTGAGTGAGTGTCCTGTATGTGCTGATGGGAGGCTGGGAGGTCAGGAGAAGTCCGCGTTGAAGACACTCTCATATCTGGGCTCATGACTCCCTTTCTCAGTAATGAGTTCTGAGAGCTAATCAGGGACATATTAAATGTCAACCCCAAGATTTCCTCCTGCCATCATTCTTTCAAGTTCAAAAAAAAAAAAAAAGACTCTTGTTTGCCTCCACTTGCTCCTTGGAACAATCTGGCCAGCTTGCTTATAGAATTTCAAAGCAGAAAAGAATATTTAAATATATAGACTCCTAAAATGCCTTCCATATATAACAGGAAGAGACCCACGGTAAAAAGTCAGCAGCCAAAGTGGCTCAGCTAGCGGGCCCTTTGGTTTTAACTTGACCATTGGTTTCTTATCACTACGTCCTCCCTACTGGAGTTGGCCAACTGCTTATCCTAGATATTTTTTATCAGTGAGAGCATACCATATCTGTGGGATTTTTTTCCCATCTGACTTATTCCACTCAGCATAAAGTTTTTATGGTTAATGCACTGTTTATTTTTCTTTGGTGCTGAGTAATATTCCATTACACTTTTATACCATATTTTTAAAATCCACTCATCTGTTGGCATAGTGGGCTATGCACTGGGTGGCCAACCACGATTCAAGGTCAGCAGTTCAAAACAACCAGCTGTTTCATTGGAGAAAGAGGAGGCTTTCTGCTCCCTTAAAGATTCAGAGCCTCAGAATCCCATAAGCTCACTGTGAATTGTAATCAGTTGATGGAAGTCAGTCTGGTCTGGCTTATGATGGACATTTAGGTTGCTTCCACTTTTTGGCAAGTGCACTGCAATGAGCATTGATGTGTCTGTGCATCTGCTTGTATTGCTCCTTTCAGGTCTCTTGAAACAAGAGGCAAAAAGGAGTAGAATTAAGGGGTCAAAGGGTAGTTCATGTCTAACTTTGCAAGGATCCACCAACCTGGTTTCCATGGAAACTGCACCTTTGGGCCTTCCCACGAGTCAAGGGTTTCAGTAGCTCCACAAGCTTGCGAACACCTGCGGCTTTCCACCTGCCACAAACAGCTGTGGGACAAATTTTGATGGGACGTTGTATGGGACCTTATTTTCATGGGGACCTTGACATTTTTCGTGTGTGTGCTTTCCTTTTTTTCAGGGGTTCTCCAAGAAAATAAGTAATGTCCCCACAATTAAGAAATTCCTTGAGCCTAGCAGCAAGAAGAAGCCTCCTCCCGATGACACCTATGTGAAAAACGTCTATGCCATCTTTGCACCGTGAAATTACATGCGCATGCGATGCAATCACATGCGCATCTGCGGGCAGCTTGTCCTGAGAACCTGCTGTGTCTACAGTGCCCCAACTGATGCCAGGCCGCAGTGATCCCAGCCCTGCAGCAGTGTTTTATAAAAATGTACGTGCACTTTCCTCGCAAAGAGACCTCTTCTAGAAATATCTCTAGCTTTTTTTCCTGTCTAGCAAATGTTGTAATAAGGGACCCTTTTCTTAATACCTTTTAGAGGAAGCTGGTGTTTAAGTTGGATCAGATCAGGTGGGTGTAACCAGCCGGATTGGTGGAATGCCACGTTCTCACTTGCGCGTTCTTCCAACTCTCCTGATCCCCTTCTGAAACCTCCCCAGTCTCTTCTCGATGTCCAGTGCTTTGTAACAGCAGAGAAACCACAGAAGGAGCCTCTCTCCTCTCGGCTGGCATCGGACAAGTGGCAGTCAAGAGCGCAGTTGCCGTCTGCTGCCGTGAAGAACGTACAAATCCCTCCCTTGCAGCGAACACGTTTCCCTGAAAACCTTTGGAATGTATAATGCAAGAGGACTTCAAAAAGTTTGTGGGGAAATCCCGTAATGTTTCCATTCCATATTTTCCCGCCCACTTTTTGAAGCCCCCATGGTAGGCTGGGTTGTCTAGAGAAACCAATCCAGTGACACTCATCTATGTGCAAGCAAACTTTCTACCAAGAAGCCACTTGTCATCAAGAAAGTGCGCAGCCCAGTGGAGCTCCAGTCCATAGGGCCAGTGCTAGCAGGGACCCTCTTTAGGCTCATGTACCTATAGGCTGATGCCAGCAAAGCAGGAGACCACAGGCTGGTGGGTGCAGAGGCGAGTGGATCTGGGGTTGTTGGAAGCATGGCAGGGTGCCAACAGCTCTCAGGGTGGGCCAGTCCACATGGCGTTGCCCCCAGTGGAAGACAAAGTCCCAGCGAGTTCCCCTGGAGGAGGAGGGCAAATGGCAGAGAGTGTGTTCCCAGAGCCCTGCACTCACATACGGAGTCCACACCGCCTCATTGACTTCAAAATCATCCAACTACCACACCCCTTGTACAGGAAAAGCTGCAACTGGTGGCAGTGTGGAAACCTGCCGGAGGAGGGAAACATGTATTTCCCACAAACAGGAGAGGGGAAAATGAGAAGGCTGCACCCTGTTACAGGTGGACAACGTGCCAGGCCTGGAAAGCCAAGGCAGTCCCGTCGAGTTCTGGCTCTCAGAATAGAATCCCAAGCTCAAGGGGGGGATGGTAGCAGAGCTTAAATTTCAAACACTCACTTTAAAGAAACAGTGGAAGCCCCAGATCCATTGGCAGGGTTTCCATGTGGATTAAGCTTCTGGTGAGTCCTTTCTGACCACACGCAGTCCAGGGACGAGAATAGCCTTACTCTCAGAGAGCATTGTAAAGTGCATCGTGCCAGGTATCATTAGGTTAGAATGTAACATTCACTTGAGCTCTCTCTTAAAGTTTCAGTTTTTAATGTTTTCTGCTTGCTTTTTGATTGAGGTTTTGCTGTCCCCTGCCCTTTGTCATCTTTGTATGTCTGCTTCCTGTTTGAGCTGTGTATGATTTTCTGTCTATGAAATCCAGGATAGGTAAATCTACAGAGACAGTAACTGGATTGATAATTACCTAGAAGCATGGCAGGGGAGGTTGGGGCTGGGTTGGGCAGGCGGATGGACAGAGTATGAGTTAGCAACAATAAGTATGAGAAAAAAAATGTCCCAAAATCGATCGTGATGATTGCACAACTCTTCTAAATAAGATTGAATGCTTAACTGGTCTGATATGTGATTTATAGGCCATTAAAATGATTATTAAGAAAGGATTTTAAAAAGCAAATCATCTTTGCAGGTCATCCTCAGCCACCTAGTTCTGCCCCTCGGCAGACCGAGTTACCATGTGCATAACCCCAGCTGTACCCGGCACACGCATCAGCACATGCAATGTTTATCTTCCTCTAACCAAGTGGATATTTGCAGTCTTCTAATTTTTTTTTTATTTCAGAACTAAGAAGTACAGGTTATTAATACTGCTTTCGAACGTATGCTAATCATATCCGTCACAAGTGCCCCATGGTTTTAATTAGAGACCAACCAAACACACACACTTCCGGCTCCTGGCTTGCTTCCCCAGGTACGTAGCATGAGCACCCTGCCCCCTTTCTAATCACAATGCCTGAAAGAACACAGGCTTGGTGGCAGGGATGCACCTGACTCCCCCTGGACCAGTGGTGTCCCAGTCTGCCTGCGATCCTGACCGCAAGACCCACCAGACAGAACACCCAGAAGGAGGAGAGTTTGCACCCATTTTTCCACTTACACCGAGGAGCCGGACACCTGCTGGGCAACATGCAGGGCTCTGTGTTACTGAGGGCTCTAGATGGCAGCAAATTCAAATTGCTTACTGTGACCATCCTGGCCCAGTGCGACTGCCTACAAGTGTGGACCCAGGGCTGCCATCCAGGCCTCTAGCTGTTTTGCAAGCTTCGCTTTTCAGGTTTTCCTCCTTTCAGACACCAGGGGGCCCTCGGGACTAGCTGTTTGAGGAAGCCCTGACTGGAGAAGAAGGTTGGTGTCCCTGGGAATTGGAGCGAATAAAAACTACCCCCCCCACACACACACACCCCACGACCCGCTTCCGTGCTTGGGGTTATGTGACCTTACCTTGTACAACTCACTTCCCATATTGGAAACAAATCTCCGTCCTTCCACACCTGACTTCAGAATGATCGAACTTAGACCGTCCCCTTCAAGTTCTCAGTCAAGTTCGGTCATTCAGGAGAAAGGCTGGGCACGTCTGCTGCTGGGCCTGTGATTGACTGGATACCAGACACTACCCTCCCCCTGAAAACTACTAGCCGTGCTGCTCAGAATCGGGGAGACCTAAATTTTTTTAAAAGAAGCTATTATGTGAAGCCTGTATCCCAGGGACTTCCCACCTCTCACTAACCTCTGTTCTCACCAACTGCAATCCAGTCAATGGTGACCCAGAGCGCCCCGCTTTGGGTGTCCGGGACTGTGATTGTTTACGGAAGCAGAAAACCCAGTCTTCCACTGAGCGGCTGGTGGTTTTGAACTGCTGACCACGCAGCTCGCAGTCAAACATGTAACCACAACTGCATCAGGGCTCCATCCTCTTCTTCTAGGGACTGTAGATGTTTCGTGTGAGGACAGAGCACTTCCATTGCATCGGGGAAGAAGAGTCCTTAGCTTGCCAGATGGGTTTGGTTATCGGCCTGAGTGTTCACTGGGACAGGTATGCCCCATCACCTCTTGATGAGCACATTAGGGTACAGACACAGACCTCTGCCCCCTGTCAGCTTTGACTCATGGTGACCTTATGCCATCGGGAGGAGCCATTGCCAGCCCTGGCCACCCTCACTGCGGCCACAGTGTGAATCCATTGTGGTAGCTGCAGTGCCAGTCCTTCACTCTGAGGCCTCCCTCACAGCCCCTGGCTCTGCCCTTCCCCAACGGGGTGTCCTCCCCGAGCAATGGCACCCTCCTGATACGTGTCCATGCAAGGTGAGTTGGGCAGTGTGGGGTTGGGATCCAGAAGGTCTGGTTTGGGTTGTTTCAAAAGTTTATGC